GAACATTTTCAAAAATTCCATTTATGACCCTAAGATGTAAAATGACTATTTTACCCTTGATCTTTTTAAAAAATCCCCACCATATCCCTTTCTTCTTCCTTCGCCCAATTACAGTATCAGATTTTTGCAGATTTCAAATTACTTAGTTTTAGACAACCAAACTAGTCCCAAATTCAAATTAAACATGTATTATATCTAATTTAAGTTGAAAATAACAATTTTACCATATAATTCATCCTTAATTTTAAGAATTTCAAAAACTTTTAAACCATGAACACTGCATCCAAAATCAGAAATTCTTCAAAATCAGACATTCAAATAATTCATATCTCTACTCCTATTCCTTATTCACACGGTATTCACAGAGTACCCAACAATTCAATTTCATATATTAAATGAATTAAACTTCCCCTTACCTTGTATGGTATTTCTACCGAAGTTTTCTCACTTAATTCAAACTCTCTCCTATTTCACCAGATCCTGTAAAAGTAGAGTATCGTTGCTTGAAATTTAGACAAAAGAAGAAGAAGGATGAGAGGAAAATTTTGATTCTCCTCCTCCCCTGCTTCAGTATGCATATATAAGAAAAAATTTATCGTGCATGAGGAAAACTTCGTTACGAAGTTTTCTTGCACAGTAATATTAATATAATATTAAAATAAAAAGCATACGTCACATCTTTTATACAAATATTATCTTTATTTTATTTTATTTTAAAATGGATTTAATCTAAAAATTCAAACAATTTTTCTGGTTTTTGGTTTTATCATTTTATTATCTTAATTTAATTACAATTTGATTATTTGAAATTAATAAATCGATTTCTATACTAATTAAATTAAATTCACTTTCAAAAGAGTGATTATAATTCAAATATGATTTGTGTAGCATGAGTTATTGTCTCTATTGGTTCATTATGCATACGCGAATAATTTTTTTCTAATACACGAGACAATTTCACCAATAATAGAACCAATAGAATTAAGGTCTATAAACTAAACTTTATTTATTTTTTTGCACTAAGTTCAATTATCATTTATCTATTTATATCAAGTAACATAATTATCACTTTTCAATTGTTTTGTCATGAATCAATCAATCTATCTCTCGAGGAATGTAGATGAAATAAATTTAAAGGATCTACAATACTAGTGGTTTGTATGTGAGAATGACTAGAGTTTGTCATTTATCTATTCAATTAAATATCACAAAAATCATTTTTAATGATATTTTCACTAACAAATTTAATTATATTTTTAATTAATGAGTTTTTCATGAGTACAAAATAAATTAATTACATAAATTTATATATTTTAACTCTTTTTTATATTTATACTTCAATGTGTTTTTTTAAGCTTATTAAACTCTCTCGGAGATTTCTATTTATTTCTTATCATTTACTATGACAAATTCTTATTATATCCAAAGTTATTTTTTTTATGATACATTGTAAGAACCAGATTTGTAAGAGTGCAAAACGAGACTGTTTAAAAGTGTTTAAAATTTATGAAAAGTGAACTTTTAAGTTTAATTAAGTTCTAAAACTTTACAAAGAAAAACTCATCTCTTCATTCATCTTAATAAAAGTTATTATTTGATATATTTTTGCAATATTTATCTTCATTCTAATATTCTAAATTTCCATTTTTTTTATATTTGAGTTCGCATTAGTATTTTTGAGAAATAGTATAATAAATTTATTTTAAATAAATTTATTTTGTAAATGATATTTATTAGATAAAGATTAATCTTTATTAGTTTAAGATTTTGTAGTAATATGTTTAATTTGTTTATTAGGCTTGTGTGAATATGATTAAATTTTATGTCAGCAAGATTATAATATTTGTAAAATTTAGCCTTTTTTATTTTTATTGAATGAAATACGTTCAAAAAGTTATAAAATATAATATATTCTAAATCTCATTATAATAATTTAGGTTAAAAAATATTAATAAATCATGAATGTAATTTAGTTGTATGATCTAAACTTTATTTTAGAAAATTATATTTATATTAGTGAATATTCATTTCGTGACGATGATAATAGTTGAAATTGAGTCGATAATGTTTATTGTAAGTTTTTATTGATTTTATTGAAATTAATATTGTGATAGAGTAATGAATTGTGAATACAATTATAGAAAAGATAATTATCCTGCATGATTTGAAAGTTTAGTGAAAAATTAAAATTAGATTAACATATATTGTTATGGTATTCATGCATATTTTATAAATTTGGTTTAAGGTAGGTATAATTGATGTTTTGATTTAATGTCTAATTTTATGAAAATAAAAATAATTAGTTTAACATATATTGTTATGTATTGATATTTAAATGAAAATATTTTTTTGATACAAAAATTATTGAAAATTGTATTGGAATTGAATAAGGTAAATTTCACTCAAGAAAAAAACAAAAAAGTTAAGGTCATATTTTCACTCAATAAGAATTAAGGCTCAAATATTAAATTTTTTTTCAAGAAAAATGAAATTAATCTTATAAATAATAATTTAAAAAAAATATTCCAATAGAATATTTATTATTTACTCAAGTAGAGATATTTATTATTCTTATACAATTTTGCTATTCTCTCATCATATTTTTTATTTATTTTTTTCTCTTTTCATAAATTTTGTTACTTTTTCTCTCTCCTAATTATTCATTATTTTTTTTTCTTTTCGGTTTCGTATAAATCTCTTTTTTTCTTCTCTCCTCTTCCTAATAAAATATATTATATTAAATTTTAATAAAAATATATTAAAATATTATTTTTAAATTAACATTGGAACAAAGAAATATTAATTAATTATTTTAAATTATGATAATAATAAATAACTTTTATTATAATGACAGTGAATAATTGATTTAAAATTATTTTATCTATTAAAATGAATCAATTACTTATTTAATTAAAAAAATTAAATATTTTTTAGTTATAATTAACTGAAATAGTGATAATTAGTTAGATTATATAATTTAAAAAATATATTTATTAAAATTTTCTGTTAGATAAATATTTTTTTATTAATCATTATAGCATAATATTTGTAATATAGTAAAATTTATCATATAATATTTTCTTAAATATAATTTATTAAATTATAGTATTTTTATAATTTAAATACTTTAACTTTTTAAAAATAATAAATGGCCCATTTAATTAAATTTTAATATAATATTTTTTAATGAGAAGATGAGATGAGAGAATAATAATAATAGAGAAAGGAAAATAAACACTAAATAAAATTTAAGAAAAAAATAATTATATTATATCAAATAAATCCATTTTTTATTATTAAATTTTATATATCAACAATAAATATATTTAATTAGTTAAATAAAATTAATTTGAAAATCAAAATTTAAGTGCGGAAAACCAAGTTTTTCTTCATGAAATTCCTAAACCGTAAACCAAAATATTTCTTTTCAAATAAAATATTACAGCTCAAACTTTTCTTTATATTTATATAAAAGAATTTGATATTATATATATATATATATATATATATATATATATATATATATATATATATATATTATGGTTCAATGAGGTTATCTGGGAATAATTCATCTTTAATTTTATTTTATTATTATTTTTTAAATTAAAAAAACTCATACTCACTCCATATTTATAAGTTATTTAATTAAACAATTATAAAAAATTCAAGCAATCTATTATAATATATGAGTTCCTTTAATACAAAATTATTTTAAACAAACAATATTAATTACTTCTTTTACTCTAATCACACATCACTACAAAATAAGAATCTAAACAATAAACATAGTAGTAATTGAAAAAATTAAATTAATAATTAATAAAATATCTTATTAATATTAAATATATTTTTGAAAGTATACTATAAAAAGTGATTTTAATTTTTAATAATTAATTAAAAAATAAAATTATAAGTCAGAAAGATAATAACTACATTTAAAAAAATAAGATATTAAATTTGTTAGTTTGTTACTTATATATCATTTAATTTTTTTATTTTTTTATTTCAACTCATTAAATTCTAGCCTATTTTTTTCCATAATTTTAATCTCTGACTATTATTTTTTTTGTCTGCAATTTGTTTAAATTTTAATTAAATTATTTATAATTTTTATTACTTTAATTAGATGATTGTACATGTAATTTGATGACAATTAAAAGATAAAAATGGAATATATTATAAATAATGAAAAGTTAAGGAATCTTTAATAATTTGTTTTCTCTTATTATTTATTAAATTTTCCAAATTGATCCATTATTATTTATGTGGTATGTTATTTATTAGCATGTTTAAAAACTAAACAGTAATAAATGTTATATATATGACATTGCATTTAAACAACTTATTAATACAGTGTTGATAAAGGAGAATATATTAATTATTTTAGAAAAAAGAATGAAATCATGAGATGAAATTAATAAGATGAATAATATAAAATTTAAATTAAAAAAAAAAAAAAAAAAAAGCGAGACTCTCCACGTGACAAACAGCAAGAGTAATATAAGAATACAAGGAAACAAAATTTGACCCCTATTCCGCTAGCGAGAAATTGATTCCAAAGGTGCATTTCTTCTGCTAGGGTTTCATCTTCTTCAATTTTACAGCATCATCATCTTCATCATTCCAATGAAACCAGGATTCATTTGATTCCGATTCCTCCACGCTACTTCTCCTCCACCCTCTCCCAGCCCTCCACCAGTTATGAACTTTACCATGAACTCCATATTCGCCGCGCATAACCTTCGTGTCTTCGGTCCTGGCTTGAATCCCTTCGCCCCTTATTGCATCGCCAATCACTCCCTCCCCGCTCGCTAAAAAATTCCCTTACTCTCCCCCGTGCTTTCTCTCAATTCCACTTTTTCCCACTCCGAACATGTAAATTCGGAGTGCACTGTCCCAGATTCGCTCTCTCTGTTTTGGTGGTTCGATTACGCGTCATCGTTTTGCTTTTCTTTGTCATCGTTTTTGCGTTGTTGGTTGTTTCGTGAGAAAGGAAAAACATGCTCGAGGAACGACCCGTTTTGTTCAGGAAGAGCCCTTCCCGGAGGCGCTTGAGACCCAGCTTTGACACCGATGATAGGGGTTGGACCTCTCTTCATGTTTTCGCTAGGAAAGGCGATCTCAAATTGGTAATGTGGTTTTCATCACCGCCTTATGCTTTTTTTTTTTCTTTGCTGAATTTTGTGGTTGGAATGGGAGGGAGGAATGCTGTTTGTTAGGCAAATTGTAATTTGAGGCTTTGAATTGGGAAAAATGTTAGGATTGCACTAGGGTTATTGGTTTGTTGAATTTGAATTTAGATCCTTCATTTTATTTTGTGTGTGTGTGTGTGAAGGAGTTGCATTGGGCTTGAGTAGCTTTGCCTTTAAGATTGGAGCTTTTCAAAGTTGAAGCCTTTTTTAGTTTTTTTTTGGAGGTTTCGATTTTGTTAGCTTTGTAATGTTCTTGTCTGTGTTTGCTTCTTCAGCCTTTTAATTGGCAGCTGCAGAAAATAAGGTGAGGCAATACCTCTGGACTAAACAGCTATAGCTGATGTCCATGGCCAAATCAGACAGAAAACTCACTATGATAAAACTTACACAATCTACATCAATCATAGTCACGGCCAAACGTCCTGTTTTAAGAGAAAGGTGCTTTTATTTCAAAGTTGCCAAAACTGGTGTAGAATTTGAATAATTTCCCATTTGAGTTTACTATGAAGGGGTAACAACTAACTCTAGTTTGGGAGTATATTCATGTTCCACACTATTTGGTAATTTTGAAATGAAATTGTCCCTGTGGGGAGACCAAACTCTAATTCCATTTCACCCAAGGATGTCTGTCAATTATTAACAGTGCTATTTACTAACTACGGATTTACAATAGAGTAGGTTTGATACCTGCTACAAACCACCTATAACACCTATTCCACCCTCTATTTATTCCTTGCTGATTTTCAATGTTTCCAAATCTTATGATGCTACTGATTCTTCTTTGTAGTAGTTGAATATTTTGTCTCATGTAGTTGATGGTACCTCTTTGGTTATTCAAGATTTTTTGTTTTGTAGACTTAAATTTGTATCATATTTGTCGCAAAAGGGTTTTCAATTGGGTCAAATTTAGTCACACGGGGCATCTTATGGTGTTGCTGAACAGGTTAAAAAACTTCTCAATGAAGGAATGGATGTCAATGTATCTGCATGGGGCCCTAAATCGAAAGGGGTGACCCCTCTTCACCTTGCTGCGGAAGGTGGTCACATTGGAGTGATGGACGTACTACTTGAGCGTGGTGCTGACATTGATGCTAGAACTAAGGGTGCTTGTGGCTGTAAGTGATTAATTCTTGCTGTTTAGACTCGAGGCCTGATTTTTTTGCCTAAGAACTACTTTGAAGTAATACAAGGTTTTAGATTTAATGGCAAACCTTTTTGATAAATTTTGTTTAAAGCGTAAAATGTTGCGATTAAGTTAAAAATTCTTGGGTAGTATTATGAAAAGCCTGTTTATTTTTTATTTACTTTAAACCTGTTTGACAGAGCAGAGGAAGTCAAGGTAAGTCGGGTAAAACATGACTTTAATACTACAATTTTTTGCAGATTCAAAATTTGAATATTTTACATTGATGAGTATGTTTTTCTCTTGAACCAGGGACACCACTTCACATTGCTGCGAAAGAAAGAAGGAGGGATGCTGTGAAGTTCTTGATAGAGAATGGAGCCTTTTTGCCACCTGATATCAATGATAGCAGATTTAACCCTCCTCTTCATTACTGTCCCGGACTCGAATGGGCCTATGAGGAGATGAAGCGACACCGACAGCTAGATATATCTGCTGGAGAGTACAGCTCTGAAAGTTAATTAACTTTTCAGGGATTTGGTTGGTGTTTGATAGTGTTTCTGGATGCTAGTCAGAGGAGGAGATCAATGCAATGAGTGTCAGATTGAAGCTAAAGTCACTTTTATAAATTTGTTATGAGAAATTGTTAATGCGTGCATTCAGGAAGCGTACCCAAACATGCACTGGATCAGTATTGTGGGAATAAATGTAGAATTGAAATAAAACAACACACTGCATGAGTTGTATAATGTATTGAGATGAGCTACTTGCTATTTTATATGTTTGGGACAATTATGTGATGTTGTTCATGGATAATGTGATGTTGATGCTGTCTTTTACGTGTTGTAGACGTGCGCACAATACTTTGTTTCAGTTGAAAGTCAGCCTAGAAAGTAGTACTACTGTCAGCCTAGATTTCTTGTCCCTTGATCTTTTGTCTAGTTTTGATGAGTTATTTGGTGAAATTTTTTTAATCTTTTACATGTTTAAAGAAATTAACTATGTTGGTGAATTGAAAGATAATTTACTTATTTTGTTTCATGGTTTCAAATGTTTGTATAAGCTTTATGAGAAAAATGCACCATTTTCAAAGTGAAGCAATATTTACAATTAAGAAAATTGTTATGACCTAGCTCCATCCCTGCATAAAAAAATACTAACAAAAATACACGAACGATTGCTCCATTTTAATTCTTTATTAACATATTCAGTTTTTATTTTGAAATAGAAGGGTAAGGGATAGTTTTTACCTCTATTTTTGTTTTTTTATTCTTTTTACAAAAAAAATGTTTTAACTTTTTGAATAAAAAAATGAAGAATAATTAGATGAATTTTAATAGTTGACAATAAATAGGAGAAATTCCATTTAATAGATTTTAATAATTTATTGTGCTTTTGGTTTTTTACTTAATATATATACTGCTGGTGAAATAAAAACTCAGGTCTAGGCTTACCCCAACCAAATTCAATGTATTTTTGGATGGGTCAATCATAGAAAATTGCCAATTGCATTTAAAATATTGACTGATTATTTTTCTCTTTCATACCCACTTTTCCTTGTCCTTGCTGTAATTGATGAATTAATAAACTCTTTTAAGGGTATTGACTCATGCAATTTGGAGAATGGTCCAAAGAGAATCAAACAAGATACATATTGAAGTTGTAGACACTACTCTTGCTTTTTGCTGTTCCACATCAATTTGATTATCATATATTATAATTTAATTGTTATTCAAGTGTTGTAATCAAATAGAAAAGTTGAATAATTTATAATTAAAAAACATAAATATATTATTTTAAGATCTTAGATAATATAATTATTATCTTATTAATTCATAGGTGAATACGAGCCTAGGATACTCTTCTCAGTAAAAATCCAGCATGATATAATATTTCAGTAAGGTATTTGTTTCATCTGATCTGATAGTCAAATTTTGACACTTTCTACATCTGGTTACTCGAGTGCCTTTTTTGGAAGATTTTCAGAGGAACAAATGAGGAAATCTATGTACATCTCGTTTTCTGATCCATCCAATTGCACTGTGTTGGAAAAGATTGACGAGTTCAGTGACTACTGTGATACAAGCAGAGTAATGAATACTGTAGTTTCTGTGTTTTCGTTTGCAATTAATTTTTCAAGTGACTTCAACCGCATAGAGATTATTTTCTACTGTTCAAGTCCTTATTATATATGCCTTTTATTTAAAGTATTTTGAATATTAATTGAAGCATAATAATAAGCAATCGTATTAACTAATCATTATTCAAAACTTTTTTAATATAAAGTTTATAAATAATTATTTATAATTTTGATTATCAATATATATACCAATAATATGTTTTATATTTAATAGAGTTTTAAAAATATTTTTAATATAAAAATCATATTATTTTAAAAGATTTTATAATAATATACTAAAGTATTTTATAATTTATAAATTTTATTTTTTAATTAAGATTTGTAATTTTTTTTATACAAAGATTAGGTATATAAATGAAAAGAATCCATAAGTCCACCCACGTTAAATCATATAAAAGAAAAAAAATACAAAACCATAAATGGATCCAACTCATGAGACATGGACATAAAAAGCCCTTGAAACAAAACACAAACCCAATTAACATCATTCTAATGCAAAGAATAAAATTATAATTCAAGTTTTAAAGAATCTATAAAATATGAAATCATAAAATTTGAAAAAATAATTTATATTTTTATATGATTTTATTATGTAAAAATTATAAAAATAAAATTCATATAAAATAATAAAAATATATAGAAAAAACTGACCACTCTTTGTTTATAATAATAGGGTCTATGTAAACATTTTATTTGTAATCCATGAAAAATATATTATATTACATCACTATTTTCATACTTTATTTCTAGGAAAAGGTTAAGAAAGTAATGTGTAATTCATCTCCCATTATTGTAATTAATTTATAATCAATTTAAAAAACATGTTTAATCAAATGGATATTTCATAAAAATACTTTTTAATCAATCTATATTTAATTTTATTAATTAATATATTTTGAAGCTCATAAGGATACACTTTAATTTTATCTTGTGTCTTTCTTAATTTTATGATTCATGCAATTAATACTAAAAAACAATTTTATTGTATCAACCATGAAATTACTCTAGTTTAGTCATTAGTTTCAAGCAATTACATTAAATATTCAAATAACTTTTACAATAATTTCAAGGAAATCAAATATATTTATTTCTCATATATGATATGATACATGATTTAGTAAAAATAATAATAATAAAATTGTGTAAAATAAACAAAACAAAAATTATTCACAGTATAATTATGGTGGTGTTGCTTAACTCATTTTTTGTAGACCTTGCAAAATTACATGGAATTTAAGGACTTCAACAATTTATTTAAGATATACAATTCTTAATAATTTAAATCAGTATTATAATGATCTTATAATTCTTAAAAGCTGTGTAACAAAAGTTTGTGCGTAATGATTTTTCCAGTTATTTAAAAGTGTATTTTTAGTAAGTACTTAATAAAAATAAATAAAATAAAATTTTAACAATAAATTTGTTTATTTATATTCTATTTTAAATAAATCCTTCATATTGTCATTAAAATATAATTTAAGCTTTACATACATAAACTAAAATATACTTTATGATATAGAATCTATATTATTTTTCAACAATAATAAATAAAATTTTATCTAAAATAAAAGTATGAATATTAAAAATAATAATGAACTCTTTTATATATTTTTTATAATAACATGTAAAGACTTACTATAAAAAGTTTCTGAGAATAATACTTGAGATTATATTTTAATAATAAATTTTTATTTCTTTCCACACTTTCTTGACTTTATTTCAAACATACGTTAAGTTTAAAAACATAACTAACTCAAAAATATCATATTATCACTAGTACAAAATAGGCTTTTAACATCGGTTCTAGAACCGACGTAGAAAGTCTAATATTTTTTTATTTTATTTATTCATAACACATCTCTAATTACCCTATATATTGATCTAGAGTTTCCAAGATTCGAACCCAAGTACCTTAGAGTCGGAGGTCGATACTCCAACCACTAAGCTACCAGGATTTTACGGTAATAACTTATACATAAATTATATTTATATAAAAATAAAAAAGTATATCCATGTAAATATATAAATATAAAATATATAAATACAAATACAAATATATTTATATATTTATATGTTGGATGTGAGGACGCGCTCGAGGATGAAAGTGTGTGTCGAGTGAATTTTTAAAATTTGATGTCAAATTTGTGAGCGAGTCTCTTTATATGGATTATAACTTAATGACAAAATATAATCTTTATAATTTATTTATATAATGATATAAAATAATTTTTTTTTATTTTATATCATTATATAAATTAATTATAAAAATTATATTCTATATTATTATAAATAAATTATAAAGATTATATTCTATCATTAAATTACAAATTCATATAAAGAAACTTGCTCACAAATTTGACATCAAATTTTGAAAACCCACTTGACACACACTTTTACTCTCGAGTGCGCTCTCACATCCAACATATAAATATATAAATATATTTGTATTTGTATTTATATATTTTATATTTATATATTTACATGGATATACATTTTTATTTGTATATAAATATAATTTATGTATAAGTTATTATCAAAAAATCTTGGTAGTTTAGTGGTTGGAGTATCGGCCTTTGACTTTAAGGTATTGGGTTCGAATCCTGCAGAATAATTTTCTTAATTTTATAAAAAGACTTTCTACATCGGTTCTTAAAGAACCGATGTGGAAAGCTCGATGTTAAAAGTGATTTACTGTACTAGTGTATATTATATTTTCTATTTTTTTAATATTGGTTCAAGAAACAGAACAAACAAACAAAACGTTTTAAATATTTTTTAAACAAATATTTAGAAACAAAAATCAGATAAAAAAATAAGATAATATTTTTATAATTAAAGACTGAAATAAAAATTAAAATAGGAGTAGTTGTTGCTTACATAGTCTACTATTAATTTGAATTCGAGTGTTGTGTGATACAAATACCTCCAATGTTGTCTCACATATTCGAATATTATCGAGCTATTAACTCTATAGGTACTATAACTGTTTTGGGTAATATTCTTTTGATAGAATTAAATTATCATGTAATTAAAATTATACACGTAATATATATATATATATATATATATATATATATATATATATATATATATATATATAACCTAATAATTTAGGTATACGAAAAAAAATTGATATTATATAAAAAATGAGATATGATATTGTAATTATTCTAAATATAAATATTTTTTATAATTATTGTATACAAAATATATTTTATTAGTTTAATTAGATTGAATATTGAATTTTATATAAAATTTGTTATTAAATTTATAAACACTGGAAAAAAAAGTTAGACGGAATTTGATTGAAATTAATTTCATTATAAAAATATATTTTTTAATTAGATTAGTAATTATCTACTTAATAAAAATAATATCATC